AAGCAGGTGGAGATATGCTCTGCTGACCCAGGAATGAACTGGGCTGAGAGAAACCAACTTGGAATGCAGTCCTGGTGCTAGAACAGGAACAGAAAAGCCTCAGGGTGGAGGCTGGAGCCCGCGCCATTGGAAGCCTGGATTTGGGTTTCCCGCCGCGCGGCGGCTGCGTCTACATCGGCTCGGCAAGGAGAGAGATGCTTGGAAGCTCTGCAGGAGGGGCTGGGAGCCGTGCACTGACTTGTGGTGAGGTGAGAGAAACTGACACTCTACCACAGTTTGACTCCAGCGGAGGACATTCTGGGACTGGGCAGACTTGCGGGAGCAGGGCGCTGTGGCGACTTCAGCCACATATCCCCCTCTCAAGCGGGATTGGTGAGAAGTGCCTAGCCTACGTGAAGCTGCTGGCAGACCCAGTAGGCTAGCACAGCCCAGATCCCAGAGCCTGAGGGTGGCCTAGAGGGGCGGGCCCCGCGTAGGCTGCCTGATCTGCAACTTCCTGGTGTGCTGCGGTGGGCGGGAACACCTAGCCGGTGCAATTCGATCAGGCTGTGGCTGACAGGGAGGGAAGCTGGGCCTCCTATATAAGCTTGCATATATAAGGAACAAAGAATATGGGAAGAGGCAGCAACAAGAAAGGCTCCTCGGCCCCCAATCCTGAGAAACAGGTAATAGCAGACACCGCACCAATAGACATAAAGTGCCAGCTAGAGAGCCTCATAGATCAGTTCAGGAATGAAGTTATCAATGACCTGAAGCTAGAAGTAAGCAGAATAGTTAGAGAAATGCTGAGCACCACCCAAGAAAAAACAGATGGTGGAATGGAAGAACAGAAAAAGAGGGGAGAATTGTTTGATGGAGAAAATAGAGAAAGCATAGACTACGTGAAGCTGGTTCAAAGGACTACCAGGAAACTAAAAACTCTATCTAAAACTGGCATAACAGCTTGAAAGAAACTAAGGACAGACTATCTAAACTGGAGGGCAGATTTGTAATATGGGAGAATGAAATGAAAAACTTCTTAAAAGTAACAAAGAAACAAACAGCAATAATACAAAGACAAGAAGATGATAAGAGGATCCATAACTTTAGAATTAAGAACATAAAAGAAGAAGTAGGGACACAAACAAGTGAACTACAAAAACTACTCACAGAAATAATCCAGGAGAATTTTCCTAATTTAGCAAAAGGTAAAGATACTCAGATGTATGAGGCATACAGGACCCCAGCCACCTACAACCCAAACAGAGCAACACCCAGGCATATAATAATAAAAATTCCAGAAATTCAATACAAGAACAGAATATTAAAAGCTGTCAGAGACAAGAAACAGACCACTTATAAGGGAGCACCCATCAGAATTACAGCAGATTTCTATGCACAAACCATCAAATCACGAAGAGCATGGGGAGAAATAATTCAAGCTTTGAAAGATAATAATCTCCAGCCAAGATTGAGATATCCTGCACAACTGTCCCTGGAAATTGATGGAAAAACAAGGTGCTTCCAGGATAAAGAGGAACTGGGGGAATTTGCAACCACCAATTCAACTCTACAGAGAATATTGCAAGATATTCTAAAAAAGAAAAATACAAAGAATCCAGAAATAGTGTCGGGGAGGCCACAATGAATGGAGCAGAGAACAAAATGAAGAAGACAAACTGACAACTAATGACAGAAAAAGAGCTCAACAGAAATGAGGCAGAGAAGATTGGATGATAGGAACAGCTATTTTGGAGAAAATGTCGTCTTAATAGGTAATACTGATTTAGTATCATCTTGTTTTGAAGTCTCATCAAACTTTTGTCCTTTTGTCTCCATTGGTCTAAACAGGTTGTATCTTATTGGATTTTATTATGTATGATAGTATAAGCAAAAACTTTTAAAGACAAGGAGATTATACAGAAACCATTGTTCATTTTCTGCTAGTTGATTCTAAATACCCTGTAATTCTGTTATTCTCTTAAATGGTTTTACATTGTTTTGATATATTTAATGCTACAATATACGAAGTTGTACTCAAGGATTTCAAGGAAAGAGACAATATGGTAACTACTTTTATGTCAGGATTATCTTGTGGTGAAACACTATTCTGCTTAAATGGTTACGTTTTGATCTGCACTGTTTTGCTGTTATGCCCTCTTTTATCTCAATCTCCACTCCATTATTTACTTTTTATTTTTATCCTTTTAATTAAGGGAAAAATAAATAAAAATAGCAGGATATATTATAGCAACCCACTTTGACTTTCCATTATCTTGATTTAAAGCCCTGTATTACTCTCACCATCTTGTTTTTGACTGATGTCCCCCTATTCTGCTTTGCTTGATAGTACTAGGTTCGAAAGTTTAGGCAACAGCTGTGAAGATAGTGAGATTCATTATGATGCCCATTCTCGATGACTTTTATCTACTTTTGAAGACCTACAATGTCTCCAATGTTTTGGTTTTGTCAGTTTTGTTCTTTACTGTTTTGTTCAATTTTATTATAACTGATGATATAGGCAATTCTATTAGAGATAGCGGGAGGCATTATGGTAACCATTATTGAACACCTTGTATTATGCTTTTACATTATCTATTATGTCCACCCTTTTGATTTGATTGACTCTGTTCTGTTATGTCACATTTGGTTCTACTCCCTTCCAAAAAAGTAATAAAAACTGTGGGAGTAACAAAACCCAAAATGTGTAATTGTCATTGTACTAAAGAGAGGAAAAGAAAGTGCCCTAAATGATATAACTGCATGTATGTTTAAGTGTATAAGATAGAAAATGCTATCACTGAGTTTTATTGGATCATTGAACAGAACTGTTTGCAGTCTCACTGTTGGAATGTCTACTTTACAAGCTTTAACTTTGTGACTTGAACAATTATTTCTAAGATGACAATATGTAATCCATTAACTAGTGATTTCCTACTGTGTATTTTTTCTGTAAATCTGTATAACTTGTACCCTTTCTCTGCTTTTTTTTCTTCTTAAATAAAATTTTAAAAAAAAGAAATTTCTGTGCATAAAGGTGACAACTTGTAAGGGTTGTGGTAGATGCCATTTAAAAAATCTGAAGATTTATAACAGCACAGTGGCAGGCAGTGCTGTAAAAGAAAATATTTATTGTTTGTACCTCATTGAGTATATCACTCTTCCAAACCATTGTTTCCAAATGTTTGCATACTAGGTGAAGATGAGTTTTTATTGATCTATTTATCAGAAGGTTAAATCTCTTGTCTTATTCTTAGCAATGCTCTTATCATATTAATACAGACCTTATGGAGAAATGAAATACATACCTTAGGGTAAAACTATAGCATACTTTGGATACTGAGAAGCATTGCAGTGGTTTTTGTGCAAGTGCCCAAAAGGTATGAGGAAGAAGCCATCAGAAATTGGCTGAAAAAATGCAATTGTCCTTCAATGTATCAACTAATTGTTGTACACTGGACCTGTTTCATGGCAACCTCAAACAGCAGAGCCCATGCCCTTTGACTTAGTTATCTGTATAGCCTCCCCATTATGTGACCTGGTCCTCTTTCATTCAACTTGACCTTTAAGAACTCATATTTTTAAAATAATATCTCTGCTTGGTTTCTTACTCACTATCTCCCAGACCTTCATTTCTTTTGACACTTTCCTTCTTCATTGTGGTCCCAGTCTCTGAAATGTTTCCTCTATCTTCCTATCCTACCTGGTTTATGCACTGAGGAGTGTAAAAAGCAGTTGGTCTGATTGAGAGTATGGATATGACTTGTCAAGTTTGATTTTCACCAAGAAACTGAGTTGTTGTACCAGGAGAAAGGGAAAGCCCAAGTCAAATAAGATACATCTTCACCGACCATCCACTGTACTTCTAAGGAGGTGATAGCAGATACTGTTTTAGCTGGCAGGTTTGAAGGCAGCCAGCTATAGACAACATACAGAAAAAAACTTTCTTCTTTTTACTGTACATGATAGAGATATTTTGCTCAGGAAGGTCAGGGGAAGAGAAGGAAAGACCATTATTTATAAGGGAGAGAGGGAAAGGAACTTGTGCATAAGAACAAAGAGGAGCAAGTAAGAAACATTCGTAACGGAATCAAGAAATGTAAAGCTAAAGCACACAGAACCTAGGGTCAAAAACAGAGATGGAGAGTGGATGCCTAGGATCACAAGAGAATGTTTACAGGCACAAATGACAGGCCTCTGTCAGTTTCCTATTGCCAATATAACAAATAACAAATTACTAACGTTCTAGTGAGTTAAAGAAGTATAAATTTATTGTTCATAGCAATTTCTTTGGACTAAAACCAAGATGTCAACCCGACTGAGAAGCTTTTGGAGAGAATGCATCCTTTACCTTTACCAGCTTCTAGAGACTGCTTCCATGCCTTAGTTGTGGCCTTCTGCCATCCTGAAAGCAAATAATGATGTCCCCTGACCTGTGCTGTTGTCATTGCATCTACTTCTCATTTGCCTATGTTCTTAATTCTCTTGTAAGGGCCTCTGAGATCACTGTGGACATACCCAGATAATCTAGCATAACCTCTCCATTATGAATCTTACTCTAGTTATATCTATAAAGTCTTTTTTTCTATAGAAGGTAATGTAAAATAAGAACATCTTTTGTGAGCAGACATTTTCTACCTATTACACAGGGACTTGGAAGATATACTAGAGATCTGTGTAATTTAATACTGCAAAAACTTGAAACATTAATTTTACTCAATCCAGCAGTGAGGACTGGCAGGTCCATAAATATGAAGAATATCCTCCAAGGACACATAACTAGAAAGCCAGATCTGGGATCCTTCTTTTACAGTTTGCATGACTTAGAACTATTTTATTATAAGATACTTGGAAAATGTCTGACAATCCCTCAAATGTATGTTCATATATGTATTCATATATGTATATGTAAGAAAATCTAAAATAAAAATAGAAATATTTTTATTAAATAGTATCAACATATTTTAAATTTGGAACTTATAATAATATAGTAAACATTTTTAATTTTTGAACAGCATAGAAACAATTATGAAATGGTTTCCATCTTCACAGTAAAAAATTTGTTTTTACTGTGAGTTGTGAGTCCATTGTAATGTATAAAAATGCATAATTCCCATCTTAAAAGCATACAAAGGAGATGAAACCAAGGCTTATGGCTAGACAAATGGGTGCTGGAAATATTACCCTTTAATCAACGCCTAATGAAATGTTTGGTACAATACAACAAATAGACCCAAGGAAGATCCAACTTCATGAACTTCAACCAATAAATGGAAATCACTTCAACCAATAAATGCAAAAAGTAAATCATTCCAGCTGTTTAATGATCTTCATTTTTTCCCAATGTATTTGATCAGAACTTAGCATAAGAATAAATATAGAAAATTATCATTTCCCCTTCAGTTCAATTTGTATATTTGAAAAACTGGGAGAACACGGAATTGTTCAAGAGGAATTTAAAATTCATCACATTGACACTATTAAAGATGGCAAAACAGAGGTCTCAAACACTCACTTCCTTCACAAAGAACCAATGTAGCAAGTGTATAACCACATTTTGATGTGAGTGACTGTCTCAGTTACTTTTCTCTATATTCAATGCCCAAAATTAAGGAAAGAAAGGTTTACTTACTTCACATTTGTGAAGGTTTCAGTTTGTCATCAGCTGATTCCAAGGAAGGCTGGCAAGGTGAGGAGCAACAGTTCAAGGCAGCGGAAAACAGCAAAGGCAGCCAAGAGCAAAACGGGAGAACAAGCCTCTTTCCTTCCTTTATACTGTGTGCAATCTACCCATGGTGAGTACAACACACCATCTCTGTGCCCTCTTTCACTAAGTCAAGATGTTTGCAAAATGAGGACCTTGTCTCCCCACCGAGTTATTTAGTTAAGCTTCTAGACTTCTCAAGTTGAGACTATGTATCAACCTGGAACCTCATAAGAGTCAGAGAGATGAGAAATAACATACTAAGAGAAACAAAATTTCTTGGCATCTGCTACTTTTGCTTCACCACTGAGGGAGGGGAGCCTTCCCTTAGCCCGTAAAAGCAATAGAGCTGACCATTAGCACTGATGCTGGTAATCCCAGATACCGGAAACCCTCTCAATATTTATGGGCTTGCAGCTCACCTAGATAAGTAACCTGAGATGTATATGGTAGCTTTGTTTTTGAAAAGTATTTTACTGTATCTCTCAGTAAACACACAGGTACTATAGCTGGGAGCCATTTCCAGATGATAACTGCTGTCAGGAGTCAGAAACTCGCCTATATCACATTCCCATCTCTGGGACTTCACATACCTTCCACTACACTGACTCAGGGAAGGTGACTCTAGAACAGAACTTGGATCGGAAGAGTGCCTGATGGGCACTCTGTACTGCAGAAGACAGGCTCTGTGACATCAAGGGAAATGGAGAAACAGAAGGTCAGGGAGCTAGTCGACTATGGCCCAGGGCAAGGCCAGTCACAAACACATCCAAACCAATGCCAGGACTGAAAGCAATGAAGATTAAGGACACAGAAAGCCTACAACAGAAGAAAAAATCCTTAATTTTGGAGAAAGTGTATACATTTAAACATAAGAAGCTTATACAACCCCAATACATATTACAAGAAAAGACATTTAACACAGCATATTATTGCCGAACTTCCAAAAGTACAGGGGAAACAACTTTTAAAACTGCAAGAAAAAAATACCGAGTCACATTTTCAGCTCGGTCCCATTAAATTAACAACAGACTTCTCAGCAGAAACACTACAGGCCAGGTAAATACTGTGTGTAATGAGTCCAAATATTCAAAGACAATAACTTCCAACAAAGATTACTATATACTAGCATACCAGCAACAGTATTCTTCAAAATGAAGGAGAAGCAACCTTCCAAGATATTGGTACATGCATTGACTTTCAGCATAAACCCCAAGACACAAGAAACAAAAGCAAAATTCAACAAGTGGAATTTACCACACTAAAAAGCTTCTGTACAGCAACAGAAACAACAGAATGATGAATCAGTGTACAAAATGGGAGAAAATACTTGGCAGCTATTCATCTGGCAGAATTAATATACAGAATACATACAGAACAAAAAGCTCTGAACAATTATATAAAGTAATAAAACTAAATGGAGAAATGATCTAAATAGTCACTTACTGATAGAATACAAATGGCCAAATATATGAAAATACATTCAGTATTCTTAGACATTCCGGAAATGAAAAACAAAATGACAAAGCAATGTCTTGTTTTAGTCCGTATGTGGAGAAAAAGGAATTATTATACTGTACATCGATGGTGGGAATATAAATTAGCATAAATATTATGGAGAACAATATGAAGATTTCTAAAAAAACAAGCAAATAAGTAAAAACTCTCAAATAAAATAAAATTACCATATGATCCAGCAATCAATCAGCATACCAAGGAGAGACCTATATATTCATAACAGTACTATTTACAATATCTAAGATCTGGAGTCAACCTAGGTACTAATCAACAAATGAACAGATAAATAAAATACTGTGCATTCTACATATAAAAATATATAAAAATTATATAATACTATATATGGAGTCTAGTATATATACACACACAGCACACTGTTATTCAACCATAAAAAGTGATTTGCACAAAATGGATAGAAATGATGGACATTACGTTATGTGATATACACTGGATAGAAAAAGACAAACACTACATGTTCTATCTCATACATGGAAACTTTAAAAAATTAACCTGAAAGTACAATAGTGATTACCAGATTCTAAAAGGTATAGGTATAGGTTTAAGGATAGAGTGATTGGCATTGTATGCAGGCATGGAAATATCGTACTGAATCTTAGTAATATATACAACAAACACTTGATAAAAGATAAAAATTTATTTTTAAAAATGAATCATTTCATGCAACCTTCTTTACAGTCTAGTAAGATCAGTATTATCAGTCCACTGTAGCCCAGGAGAGATAACCTTGGAAGGACTCCTGACTGGCCCCTTGAAAACAATCTATGAAAAACAAGAGGTAAATACCAAGTGTTGTGCTTTCCTGTAACTTTTTGATGTTGTAAGTTTTATAAAATCTCAAATTAGAGAAAATCTTTTAAATATGTAGGGTTAAATGAACAGCAATACAGGAAATGTGCAAGAGCACAAGAAAAAGAAAATTTTGATATAAGGATTCTAGGATTCTTTTTAGCATCATATAAACATATTCCAACAAAACACATTCACACTGAAAACAAAGTACACTTCCTCACATCTCCAAACTTTTCAACCCAAACATGTGGATGTTCTTTACAGTAGAACATCCTGATCACAGTATTTCCATAACAGTTAAAGTAAAAAATGGAAGTTTAGAAAGGTGGTACTGCTATAGGGATAATGGGTAAATACACCTGTACACACTCTTACGGTCACCAAGAAATAAGTTTTTTTATTTGGTTGCATAGAAAGGTAGGAAAAAAGGTGCTTTCACTGAACTGGAGGCAGCAAAACTTGAAGAAGATGTTTTGAAACTAAATAGGAGAGGAAAGGTCAGAAAATAGCCGGTAAGTGGTCAATTCAGGTGCAAAGATGAGGAGACTTGTCAAGTATTTTAAACAAGGTTAATAAAAAACCAGAAAAGATCCTGATACATTTGTAAAGTGTATATGAGCTAATTTTCTTTCCTTTTATCATTGGGACAAGGTTATAAAGTGACACTTTGTATTACTGTCTATAAATCACAACTCCCCACTTTCCACTGCATGCAGGGAGATACCCGATATTTCACTGATATTGGATTTGACCATGTGAGTCTTTTGCTTCAATGAAATGTCAGTAAACAAGATATAATCAGAGGCCTTGTATGTCTTGTGGGCTCTGATGAGATGGAATGAATGTACCTTCAGCTAGTGTCTACTCTTTCAGCTGATCTTCTCAATGACACACATTAAACACTCCATATATCCCAAGATCTACTGCTGCAAGAAGAGGAGAGACATGTGTTTTCAACAGTATCGCAAATAGCACATGAGAGTTTATAATCTGGAAATTAGCTTTGGTCAAGTAATATATAGCCAATCTGAAGATGTGAGATTTTTGAGGTCCTAAATTTAGGGATAGTTTCATTGTAGTATTATTAAAACAACGCTAAATAAAAAGCAACACATTTCACCAATATACCTATTAAACGTTTTAAAAAGTAAAAGTAAAATCCTATAGCAAAATTTCCATTTGCAAGAAAATGAGGTAGTCATACGTTCCTCTTTTTCCTGCTAAATACAACTAAAGACTCAGGCATAATACATGAAACAATTATGTATAAATAGACTTCTACAGTGAGAACAAATAGAATATACATATTAGAGAGGAATTGTTAGATCACATAATCACAAAGGCTCAAAATCACTATGGTCAGATGCAAGATACAGGGATAAGGAGGTCAGTAAAATTAACCATAAAGAAAGCAGAAGCCTAACAGCAGAGAAATGAATAATGCAACCTAAATCTAAGACCAAAAGCCTAAAAGCTCCAAGTGCAGCTGGTATAAACCCTGTGGTCTGAAGATCGATGAATCCGGAGACTGAAATTTAAGGACAGAAGCTGTAAAAGCAAACTATCTCTGGGAGGAGGAGTTACACAGAGTGAGAAGAACGAAGAAAAAGCGATGGGGAAAGATGAGAGGGAGGTAAGGAAGACAGGAAAAACAGATGAGAAAGAGTAAAATAAAACTCAAAACAAAAGCCTTCTTTTGGTAGTAAAAGGATCAGGAAAGAGACAGATTACAAAAACAGGACACCTTTATGTAATAATCATTCTACCCAGCCAAATAACCCAGAAAAACTGTGACTCAAGCCAACTCTGTGTCACCAGAGACTGAGAGAAAAGTGAGCGCTTACGCACTTGCCAGGCTCCTGCAAGGTGCATGAATGTTGCCAGAAGGCTGGTATCAGAAAAGGTGGAGGAAGGAGTCAGAATGCTCATCCTCAGTAGACAATGGGTCCTTCCCTTCCTGAGTGATTGGGAAGACCACATCAGGAATACTACCCTAAATTCCAGGTTTCAGGGGGTCATGGGAGACCAGTAACCAGGCACTTTTACCCTTCTCAACCAGGAAGGTTTTAGTGGGTGTTCAAGGGGAACTAGGACTCCCATGCTTACCAGCTGTAGCAAACCATCCCTGCTTTTCAGAAGTGAATGGAGAGCAGGGGGGAAACTGGAGTTTTACCCTCAAGTGGCATATGAAGCAGGGTCCTTTTCATTGATCGCTGGCGCAGTGACAAAGGAAGCAAAATAAAATACAAAGTTTAAGTAAAACACGAAGTTTAATGATATTCAAAATGTCCAAATTTCTATCAGAAATCATTTATCATACTAAGAACCGTATCAAACTCAATGAGAAAAGAACAATCAATGAAAGCCAAAAGTATATTAGAATTGTACATTTATAAAAGACTGGTAATATTAGTCCACTGAAAATGTCTCTGACAAAGAAGTCAAAAATTCTTTGATGAATGGAAAAAATAAATTATTTGTTGACTAAAAGTATCTATAATGGAAGTTTTCTAAAAAGAAAGGATTCTATGTAACAGAAAACTTGGAAGATTATGAAGAAAGAACATAAAACACCCAAATGTGGATAAGTATAATCGACACTCCTTCAAAATCATGGCTGATGGTTAAAGCAAACTTATGACATTTTCTGATGTGGTTCTAAATGTATGTAGGCACAATAATACTATGAATTGTGAAGGATACGGGAGAATAAAAGAAGGTAAAACTTTGTACTTACCCAAAGTTGCTTTATTAGTCAGGTTGTCTAGAGAGACAAAATCAATAGAATGTTTAGAAAGAAATAAATTAAGGGAACTAATTAGGGAAAGTGACTGACACAATTATGGCAACTAAGAAGCTGTGAGTGGTTTTAAGTAACTATAGGAGGTTTTGTAACCAGCTAACCAATTAAGCTGTAATTAGTTAAGCAATTTATGTACCTCATTTCTGCTAGTTTTATAGTATTCCATCAGGTCGCATTTGGTGGTTGTATATCTCTGAACCTGCTCTGTTTCTGGGAGTTTCCTTATGAATCAAAACATGAACTTTATTTCAATCTGTATTTATTTGTTCGAATAAACTACTAAATTTAAATGGTCTAAGGACTTTTACTTTTAACATACAATCCTAATTGACTATAAATTATCTATACACCATATATAGACCAACCACTAACAAAATAGAGAGAGATGCAATAAAAATATTGTGGAAAAATCAAAATGAATTACTGAAAGATGTTCAAGTGAAGGACAGGGAAATTGGAAAAAGAGAACACTGGGAAACAAAGAGAAAAAGCAATAAAGTTAAACAAATACTTAGGCTAAAATGAATTGAATATAAATTGCTTAAATATACTAATTAAAAGACATTCTGGAAGTAAACAATGCCAATGATTCACATACAAAAATATTCAACTATATTCTATCCATAAAATATTCACTCCAAATATGATAATGGAGGCAAACAGATAGTAAAAAGGGAAATTTAGACCATGTGAACATTAATTGAGAGAAACTAAAATGGATGTATCAACAGCAGAAAATGAAGATTTCAGGAAAAAAAATGTTAACTGAAAGAGACATGAACATTATTGAGAGAGACTCAGTCCACCAAAAAGCACAGCAATCTTAAATGTGTATGCATCAGACAACAAAACTCTAAAGTACATGAAACAAAACTGATAGATCTAAAGGAGAAATAAAAATTCCCAACTATAGTTGGAAACTTTGACACATCCCTCTCTCAGCAGTTGATAGAATAACTGCTGGTTACTCTAGCAGTACTCTAGAGTACCAGAGAGGGTATACAACTCATTATGATAATCAACATTGACATTCATAGAACATTCCACTGAGTACACAACAGAATACACATTTTTTCAAGGATCCATGGATGTATACTAACATTTCTGTAACACACTATATCCTAGATTATAAAACAAACTTCAAAATATTGTCAAAATCTAAATCATATGGAGTGTTTTCAAATAAAAAAATCCAACTAGAAATCAGTAGCGTTTGTATGAAAGATAAATAATTCCTTATCAGAAATAGAGAATATAAAAGTATTATTAGAGGCTGGGAAAGGTAGGATATAAAAATAGATTAATTACCTCATACAAAAATATGCCTCATATAGGAAGAATTTGGTCTAGTGTTCTATAGCAAGTAAGGTGACTCTAGGCAAAATAATTTGTTACATTTCAAAACAGCTATATGAGAGTATTTTGAATATTTCCAATACAAAAAAGGTGATAAATGTTTGAAGTGACAGATAAGACATTTACCAATTTGATCATTACACACTGTATACATGCATTAAAATACCAGATTGTGTGTTATATGATTAAGTCTAAAATGTCCCTTGAAAGCTCATAATTTGATGACTTTCTCCCCATGTTGGCAGTAGTGCTCAAAGGTGATGTTTTAGGAAGGCTATTGGATTGCAAGGGCTCTGACTTTGTGGATGCATTCATAACTTCATGAGGTACTGGCAGGTAATGGGACCTTCAGAAATGGGATCTATAGAGTTAAAGGGACTGGGTCACGGGATATGCCCTTGCTAAGTATATCAGGTCCCTGGCCCCTTCTTCACTGGTTCTCTGTTCCCTTTCGGACCATTTATGAAGTGAGATGCAAGGCTTCCCTACACCCTTCTCTTCAGTGTTCTGCCTGGCCACACACCACAGTGATGAGGCTAAGAGTCTGTGGACCAAAACTTCTAAAAACATCATCCAACATAAACATTTTCTACTTTAAGTCAGGGATTTTGTTACAGCAATGTAAAAGCTAATCATTACACTATTTCCTATGAATGTGTACATTCATGTCAATTCTTAAAAAAAAATTAAAACAAGTTAGTAACCAAAGATAACAGAAAAATCTCAGTCAGAAACTGCACTACACACCAGTAAATAAATGAGTCAAAGAATAAGTCTCATAGAAAATGAAATATCGTACTGAAGTGAAAGGCAATGAAACAACAAACTAATTGCAGTTCAGGGTTGAGAAAGGTGGGGAATTGATGGCAAATGAGTGTAGCTCTGTAAGGGCATCCTAGGGACCCTCAGAGCCATCGATACTTTCTGCATTTTGGCTGCCTCAGTCTCAGTATCTTGGTTTCACATATTGTACTATTTTGCAATATATTACCTTAGGGATTAAGGATATTGAGAGTCTCTGTCTTATTTCCTCTGAATTATCTGAGGTTATAATAACAGTTTAGTAATAATAGTTTACTATTGTAACTCAAAATAGCATCTGGTTACTCCCACTGTCATCCAAATAAGAGAAGAATTAGAAAAGGAAGAGACTGAAGAACAGAAGGAAAAAAAGAGAGACTATGTGTCAAATATTGTGTTATGCACTGAAAAATCACGGTAGCAAAGTCAGAATTCTCAGATTTATGTATATACACACACTCACAACACTAAATAAACATATATTCATTTATAATGCACATGTAATTATTTTAATCAGGAGTGCTTTATTCTCAAAAATGTGTTATTAGCATACTTTTATAATTATATTACAATTATTTTTAAGAAATCAAGCACTCTGTTTGCTGTGATGTTTTAAAAGTCAGGACTAAGTCAATGACCTTGAGCATAAATAAATATTAGGACTTCACCTTGCTAAGGAGATTGAAGTCATTACAAGGAGCATTAGCATACCTAGCTTTTTAGCTGCCACATTGGTCACCATACATGATAGGTGACATGATAGGATTCCAGAATCATTGCTGCTCAGGACCATTAGGTACTATGCTGGTAGGGAATTTTGTGCAAAAGACCAAGAAAGATAGATGGAGATACAGAAAATTGAGTGATAAAATTAATAGACATATACACCACCTATTCTGAATCTATTATTTAATCTTTAAAATAGATATTTTATTTTATAAAACACAAATATAAACATATTAATTTATAGAAACGTGAAATTTTATATAATCACTTAAGCACCCCATCATCTTATTTGAACAAATAAGTCTTTTTTTGAATCATTTTAATATTAAACTCAATTAGAGATAATACATAAATTCAGGACACAAGGAAATTACATGAATTCTATAAAGCAAGAAATAAAAAGTGAGATGATAAAACAACACATTAATATAAAAGATTCCAAAACAAAATAAACAGAAATTAAGTGTGAAAACACCTTTATTCAAATGTTAGTAACAATTCAATAAAACTCAAATAATAAAATGGAACAAAACAAATGTCTAAAACCACTTTTGATTTTATAGGAGAAAGCTGAAGAGAGCTGGTCATGAAATTAAGTGCTATTAGCTGATGGAGGGAGAACAAGAGACTGAAGTACAGAAGTCACTGAGGACAGAGGAGCGTAAGAGATGTACAAATAGCTGAAAGGATGAGAAACCACAGAACTTCTCTCACACATTCACACTGCCTGCCAGAGCATGGGAGAACCAGGATTTTCCATCAATACCTACTCTAAAGCATTTCACAGCTTCACAAGGCAGTAATTATGTATTTTCAGCTTTAATGGTTGGAATCAGGTATCAGTTATCAATGCTTTCTAGTTATTTTGACTTTCTCCCCTTAAGGACTGTCCATTGTGTCTTCCAACCACAAGATCACATTGCTTTTTTCCCCAAACTCAAGAGTTTATTCATTCTTTCTAAGACTTATATATTTTGCACTCAGTGTATATTAAACTTTTGTTAGGTTTAAATCATACAACTTAAGTGCCAGCAAACAGATTATGCAGGATTTGGACCGGATTACCTGGACCTTCTGGGTGTTTTGGGAATGGCATACCTAGACCCATATGATTTACCTGTCCCTTCAGCTCCTAGCTTCAGCCACGTTAGCTGGCAGATCAGTGAAGTTTGTCTAACGTATACCATCTTCATTCTATAAATCTCTTACACTTCTTGAAAACTTCCCCTTTATTTCTAGGTACCTGGTGCAAAGCACTCTGCCTCACCACTAGTCACCCACAGATCCTCCATTGTGGAGCTCAAACCAAATGTATTTTATCTTTCTGGACTATTTCATGCTCTAAATTGTTTTCTTACTCTTACCTCATACTCATGTCACTAGTGCATCTGTGACCTGATGTGATTGTTAGCAAGAAACACTAATAAAATGGTTTTTATTCCAACAAAAAAGGCAATTATTTCCAATTGTTCTAGGCTTTGGGAGATGATTTGGCTTCCAGTGAAGGCATGAATAAACAGGTTGGCCAGATCTTTCCCTGGAGTGAGTAACTACGTATTTTTTTTTTCTACTTTGTTAAGTGGTGTCTGTAATCATAATTTTATTCTGCTTTTTGTTTTAGTATAAGAACATGGTATAGTAACAGATTCAAGCTTTTTAACTGTCCCTATGATGCAGAAGAAAAGGAAAAACAGGCTTGATAAAAGCACAACGAGAACTTGGAGATGCAAATGGTCCTCAGAAATGCTTTTAAGGATCTTTTGCTCTAATGATAAATTCACCACATGCTAAAATTAGAAATTTTTAAAAATACAGAGAATTATAACATATATTTTTTCACCTTAAATTCCTCCAGCCACTGTCAATATTTTGATATATTTCCTTCTACTCTTTCTTATTCTGAAGGTGCCAGTTCCTAAAATATTTTCTCCTCTCCCATATTTTCAGGTGATACAAGTTGTTCCAGGTACCCAAAGCATTGATAAGGTCTTGTGAATCACTCATTTATTAACAGAATTTGGGTAAATTTTCTCTAAGATTCAAACAAGAGTAGAGTTCAGGAAAAGATAACTATGTAC